TGTGTGTGTCAGAGACAGTGCGATTGGCACAGGATAGAGCAGGGTTTAGGGCTGTTGTACATAGGGTCGCTATGAGTTGCAAGCGACTGGATGGCACATAACATCAACAACAGCAAGTAATACAGTAGGTAGGCACTTTAGAAGTGTACCTTTTGCAAAGGCAGTTACGCTGGCTGGAGCACAGAAGCAGTTGTGAGGACGGCACAGGATCATGCAGTGTTTTGCTTTTTTGAACATAGAGTCCCAATGAGTCAGAACCAAGTCAGTGGAAACAAACAGTAAAAGCAACAACACATTAAAAGAGCTTGGTATAACACTGTTCATTATCTTAGAGAAATGAGTCTGTTGTGGAGAACTGTAATTTCCTAGGAAGAAGCCATTACTATGTCCATATCAAAATAAATTGGTAGCTCTGATTTCCATGTCATTCAAAGCTCCTGAGCCCCGACTTTGAGAAGTTTCAGAATTTTGACAGCTTAGCCCTCCCTCTTCTCCCAGATCCAGAATGCGGGATAGTTGCAAAGATGATGTGATGTTGTTTGGAATTCAATAATCTGAGTTTCTGAAAATGAATTATTAAAAGTGAAGAGAGATGACTGGTGAAAGGCTATATTTGACAGAATATGTAATTTTGTTACTTAAAAAAAAATTCATTGCTGCCGATTTAATTCCGACACATTGTGACACTTCAGACCAGAGTAGAACCACCTTGTAGGATTCTAAGTTTATAATCTTTACGGAAACCAACTGCCACATTTTTCTTAGGACAGTTGATTGGGTCTGAACCACCAACCTTTTAGTTGACAACTGATAGCTTTTTCACTCTACTGCCATGGCTCCTTTATAAAGGACACATAGATCATGAAAATTACTTTGTTGTTTTTTTATGTCCTTTAAGTTTTCCATGTGCATTGTAAAATGTCAGAATGCTACTCAGGTGAGCTTCTGTCTTGTGAAATTTTACAATACCAAGGGAGCTCTGGTGGCCTAGTGGCAAGAAGCTGCGCTGCAATCCCGAAGGCACACAGTTCAGGTCCACTAGCTACTCCATGGGAGTAGGATGGGCAGTCTACTCCTGTGTGATTAGCTGCTTTTGAAAACCTGCCAGAGGGTCAGCTGTGGGTCAGTTCAGATGCAATGGCACACAACAACAACTACAACAATGAAATACTTGGATTTTTAAAAATTATATGCTCATTTTCATAGATAAAAAATGACAATTTCATGTGGTTCAACCAAATAATATTAAGAAATACTGTGTATTTTGTTGTCCTTAAAAGCTGAAATAATTGGATCTCTGAGTTGTATGTTAGGCTACCCAGTAGTTATATGTTGGGTCCATAGAAGGAAGATAAGGGCATCTGCTCCTGTTAAAATTTAGTCTCAGAAACCTGATGGGAGGCTGCCAGGAGTCAGAATTGATTCCGCTGCAGTGGATTTAGCTTGAGTTTTAGGTAAATGGTAAGAGTAGCTTATTCTTTTTATTTGCTTTTTTAAAACAGAAAAAATGCCTGTCTTAAAGGCTGAAGCATCACATTACAACGCCGATTTAAATAACTTGCTGTTCTGCTGCCAGTGTGTGGACGTGGTGTTTTACAACCCAGACTTAAGGGAAGTGGTGGAGGCCCACAAGATCGTGCTGTGTGCTGTGAGCCATGTGTTCATGCTCCTTTTCAATGTCAAGAGCCCCACTGACATTCAGGATTCCAGTATCATCCAGACTGCCCAGGACCTTTTTGCTATAAACCGAGATCCTGCATTTCCAGGTGCTAGTCCGGAGTCTCCAGGTAACCCACCGCTGCGAGTCATTGTGAAGGACGTCCACTTCTGCTCCTGTTTGTCAGACATCCTGCGCTTCATTTATTCAGGTATTTGTCAGATGGTTCTGGCTACTTATGCTCTCTTTTGTTTTGGAAATGGAGCGTGCCTATGATGCTCACAAAAACTGATTTTAAATCTGCTTTCTTTCCACCATCCAACATGAAGTTTTATCTATGAAATATTACTTGCTTTATGTAGAGAAATTAGTCCAAGACTTTTTTTACTTTCCTATCACTTTTATTGTTAAATCTAGTCTAAAAGCGAGCTCTGGTGGCTTAGTGGCAAGAAACTGCACTGCAATCCCAGAGGTATGCAGTTCAAATCCACTAGATGCTGTGCTGGAGAAGGAGGGGCAATTTCCTCCTGTACCTGTCAGATCTGATTTGACAGTACACACAGAAAAAGTAAAATTAAAATCAACTATTTGGGTACATTTGTTTGAATATTTTGCTCAAATTAAATCCTTTGGTGTTCTTTAAATGTAAAACTGTAATGCTTCTTCTGGGTTCTGACACTAGTATTTGATCGAAGTGACATTTCCTATGTAAATGTCTTTGAGTGTTATGTACAGAGTTTAAAACATGATGGTTTGAGTATAAAATTTGGTTTGATACATGATACAGACTGTTCAAAGTTGTATATTTAAATTCAAGGAAATGTTTTTGTGAACTATTTCTACTGGATAAATGTATTTAAACTAAAATAATTAAAAAAAAACAAAACAAAACAAAATCTAGTCTAAAAACAGTAATCTCTTCTTGCCAGGAAGTAATGAATGCCAGTAGTTTATTTTTGTCTCAATTATCAAAATATGAAAACATAAGGATCTATTGTCTGCTTTAACTTTAAAGAATATTTTAACTTAAAATTTTCCAAGTGGCCTAGTAGTAAGAAGCTTGTGCTGCAATCTCAAAGGCACATGGTTCGAATCCACCAGCTGCTCTGCAGGAGAAAAATGAACAGGCTCCTCCCATGTAATTTACTGTCTCTGAAAACCTGATGGAGCATCTTCTATGGATCAGTTCTCACTTAACAGCTCACAACAGCAACATATAACAAGTTTCTACAACTTCATATATATTCACTATTCTGTCTGACTCACAGATGTTTTGAGAGAGTTTAGGAGAGACATGAATAGGGTAATCCAGTTTAGAAACAGGAAATTAGTGTCTAAACTTACTCAGGCTGAGTTCTGATTGATTTTGACTGTGGCTCTCTTTGTTAATGTTTTCCTCTCTTACTTTTCCCTTTTTAAGATTAAGCTCATCAATACTTTTAGGTTTTTTTTCTTTAAAACTCCCTAGTAACTCTATAAGGAATAGTAATTTTGTCTGAACCACTTTAGTAAGTCTAAGTACTCTATAAAGAATGGAAAAGAATGGATGTAAGATGATTTTGAAAGTTGTTATGTGCTGGTGAGTTGCTTGTGACTTATAGTGACCCTACATACAACAGCTCTGAACTCTATCCTGAGCCAACCTTATTGTGGTTGACACACCTACCCTCATTACCCCAGACACTGAGTCAGTCCATCTCATCTCAGGGTCTTCCTCCTTGTGCTGTCCCTCTCCACTCCCCAAGTATAATGTCCCTCTCCAAGGACTAGTCCCTCCTTACAGCACGCCCAGAGTATGTCAGACAGAGCTTCAGAATCCTTGCCTCCAAGGAGCAGCCTGGCTTCACCCTACATAGGACGACCCTGTTTGTTCTTCTAGCAGACCATGGTACATTCAATACTCTTCTCCAGCACCACAGCTCAAAGGCATCAATTCTCCTTCTATCATCCCTAGTCATTGTCCAGTTCTCTGACACAAAACAAGTGATTGCAAAGACCATGGCATGTATCAGACGCACCTTATCTCCAGACTGACATCATTGCTCCTGTACTCTGGAGAGGTTTCTGACAACAGACTTTTGCAATGCAATGTGTCTTTTGATTTCCTGGCTACTGGTACCAAGACTGTTTATTGTGGAGCCAAGCAAACTAAAACTGTTAACAATCTCAATCTCTTCACCATCTATCATGATGCCGCCGGCTGGCCCAGTGGTGAGAATCTTTGTTTTCTTGATGTGGAGCTTCAATTGACCCTCTGTCCTCCTCAGTTTCAGCAAGCAGGGTTGTGTCATCTGCATAACACAGGTTCTTGATTAGTCTTCCTCCAATCTTGATGCCACACTTTTCCTCATAGAGCACAGCCTCCTGGATGATCTGTTCTGCATATAGATCGAAAAGGTTTGGAGATAGGACACATCCCTTGCATACACCCTTCCTGCTTTTGAACCATGCAGTGTTTTCTTGCTCTGTTCTGATCACTGCCTCCTGGTCCAAGTATAGGTTTCACATAAGCACAATCAAGTGTTCTGGGATTCCCATTCTTCTCAGAGTCAGCCACTATTTGTTGTGATCCACACAGTCGAATGACTTTGTATAGTCAATGAAACATAGATATATGTTTTTCTGTATCTAAATATAATATTTCTAAAAGCTTTTCTTTAATTTTCTTTTTTCTCCCTCTTGGATTCATATTCTGATGCTGGACTGTTGGACCAAAGCCATTCCTAGCCTGTACAAGGAATGTCTGAGATGTTTATAATCTGTCTTTAGAGTTTAAAATTAGAAATGAGCAAGAGTTTATAAAGGCCTGAAAATAAAGTAGATAACATTTCTTGTAGGTAGAGAAGTTTTGATATAGCCCTCAGTTGAAATGACTGATGTTAAAAATAAGGGTTGTTTTCTTTTTAATTTGGTTTGTGGTTATGTCATTGTATACATTAAAATAAAAATTTTTGTTTGAGAAAAATACAATTGCAACATGCAACTTAAATGGACTAAAATATGTATGTTGGAATAGAATGCACTAGTAGTTGTTAAACCTGTTGTTCAGTAAAATATTAGTTTGAGAAAGGCATAAATAACCACTTGTACGTGCACACACCGTCCCCACCCCACAGTGCTTTCTATGGACCGGGGTTTCTGTAAGTTTAGGTTGAGTTAATGAGTAAGTTCTAGCACCTCTGAATTTTCATTTGCGTGGACTTCACAATCATGACAGATTCTTATGTTTAAAATTTTAATTCCTCGTTTCAGAGTTTAAAGCAGTTTGAGATGCCAAATATTTAAATGTTAATCTTTTTTAAAAAAATTTAATGATGTGGTTAAGAAATCATAAAGAAATTGTATGACTTTTCTTTTTTCAATGACTTTACTGTTGATATGAGTTATTCAACAAGTTTCCCATAATATCAGTGGAATATTTCAAAGACATGTGAGCCCTTCGACCTTAGTGGAGAGTCTGTTAATATAGCAGCAATAAAATAAATAAATGCTTTCCCAGTGACTGAGCTTTCGTAATTATCTTCTAAGGAGTGATTTTATTTAAATTTCAGTATTAGTACATGTGAATGTAAAATATTATTTAAAAGTCCCGAAAAGGGATAAGAAGAAAAGTTGTCTTCATACTCCACACCTCCAATTCTTTTGTCCTCTCCCCAAGAATTACTTATCTGTTATGTTTCTTATATATTCACTCTATTAATATTTAAGGAAGGTTAACATACACTTAGCTTCATGTAAGGGAGCTCTGGAGACCTAGTAGTAAGGACCTGTGCTGCCAACCCAAAGGCACACAGTTTGAATCTGCCACCTTCTCAGAAAAGAGATGGTCAGTGTCCTCCTGTGTGATTTACTGCCTCTGAGGCTCAGCTATGTGTCGGTTTTGACTGTGCAGTACATAGCAACGTTCCTCGCTTATGGAACCTTGGTGACATAGTACATTATGTGTTTGGTTGCTGAGACGTCAGCAGTTGCATCCTCCAGTCACTTGTTGTCAGAAAGATGCATAGTCTCAGAAATCCAATGGAGGATAACTCTATGGCTGTGGGTTTGGTTTGATTGTTGGACATTCCTCACTTACTAAGTGTACATTTTCAGACATTTCACACTTTGTTGTTATGTACCATTGAGTCTGAACCAACTCATAGCTGACCATCAAATGGGTTTTCAGAGGCAGAAAATTGTATGGAAGGGGAGATTGCCCGTCTTTCTCCAGTGGTGCAGCTGGTGGATTTGAACAGTGTGCTTTTTGGTTGGCAGTGCAACTCCTTACCATTAAGCCACCTGAGCTGCCTTTCACACTAAGGACAATGTGAAATAAATCAACTGTTTTGTGCATTGACTGCATACATCTGGAAATAAGCAGTACCAAAGCATGTGTCAATGAATCAAGAGTAACAAAGGGCCATTTGGTAATTGAGTTCCTATTTTTCCTTTTGGAGGCCCACCAATATAATGGGGGACAAAGGCTGTGATGGTGTTTGTCAACTTCTTGTTGTTGTTTGCCTTCAAGTCAGAACCAACTGACTCATAGCTGGTTTTCCATGGATTTTCAGAGGCTTTAAATCTCATAGGCAGAGATTGTCTGCTTTCTTTTGAAGAGTAGTTGGTAGAGTCAAACCAAGTACCTTAGTCTCAGCAGCGTAACCTCTTAACCGTTACACCACCAGGGCTCCCTTTGGTGCCAACTTGACTGGCCCATAATTCTCAGTAATCTGGCAGTTCAGTAAAGAAATTTAGCCATCATATAGTTATGTAGCTTTCCTCTATGTCATGATCTGGTCTGATCACTCTCCATTTTTGTATAGCACCAATTTTTAAATAGTGAGCTGGTCTTGCTACCTACCAGTATTAAGAGAGGGGCAGGTGTACTTGGGAAAGTTGCTTTAATAAAAATGTAATCCTTGGTAACTGCTATTTCCTGAGCCCCACAGGTAGTTTTCCATGGCTAGAGCTTGAAGTGCAAGGTGTTAGCTGTCAGGATGAAGCTGGCAGTGTTGGTGAGCAGTTCTACCTATGGTAGAATTTGAAACTCCATTATATTGAGTTTATCTCTGCTAACGGTGGGCGGATGGAGCAGAGCAGGCAAGACAGGAGTTTGGTTAAAATTTCCCTCTCACCTGGATGATCAGCTTTAGGAAGGCCCACATTCGTACACTGGTAGTTGGAAAGACAGCTTGTCCTGCTTCTCAAATATTAAAGTACATGCAGAGC